CTTTATTCCCAACTTGGTTAGCATTGGCTTTGCAGAGAAAGCATTTAGCCTTCTAAAGCACTGGAGAGGACCCTTGTGTTTAAGAGGGAAGGAGACCCGATTTCACGATTTCATTTGGCGAGAAACATGCGGCTTTATGATGCCATATATATTGCAGACCTTTGTATTGGCCTCCCTGTCTGACTAGGAATAGAGTAAATGGCTTGTTGAGCTGTATCATTCTGAAATGTGCCACTAATGCCAAAGAAAATCTTCTTAAACTTGTGGGGCCAGATCTTCAGAGGGTGTAAATCAGCGTAACTCCACTGGCTTCATTGGAGCGATGTGGGGTTTTATGCCAGCAGAAGATTTGACCCACAAGTATTTAATGTGAATCAGATGCGAAATAACAATGACCCTCTCTAATTTTTTTTAAGCACTTTTACATGGAACACCCTTCGGGTTCAGCTCTGTTACCTTCTTTTCTTATCCTTGCCGGTACGTGCCCAATGGTTTGGTATCGGAAGGCTGCTGTGCACGCTGGGTTGTGTAGAGTGATTGTGAGCTGCAGGCTGCGTGGGTGCTTTGTTATTGTAGGGTTGGTCGTGAGTGTTGGCCAGACATACCGGGCGACTCGCTCATGAGGGCTGGGCTGCACATGCTCTGCTGTCACTGTAGGGTTACTCGTGAGCAGTGGGTGGCTGGCATTAGTGATGTTTGTTTATTTTAAAACCCATCATTGGAACCGCTATCCTCATATTACTAATAGTGCAGTAATAACCAGACTGTGCCAGATGCTGTATAGACAAATAAATGCCAGTCCCTGCCCCAAAATGCTTAGGGTCTTACGAGACAAAGGAACTATTATTATTCTCATTGCCAGATGGGGCAGTGAACTTAAGGCAGTGGTTCTCAAAGCCGGTCTGCCGCTTGTTCAGGGAAAGCCCCTGGTGGGCCGGGCCGGTTTGTTTACCTGCCGCATCCGCAGGTTCGGCCAATCGCGGCTCCCACTGGCTGCGGTTTGCTGCTCCAGGCCAATGGGGGCTGCGAGAAGCGGCGCGGGCCGAGGGAAGCGCTGGCCGCCCTTCCTGCAGCCCCCCGTTGGCCTGGAGCGGCGAACCACGGCCAGTGGGAGCCGCGATCGGCCGAACCCGCCGATGCAGCAGATAAACAAACCGGCCCGGCCCGCCAGGGGCTTTCCCTGAACAAGCGGCGGACCGGCTTTGAGAACCACTGAGTTAAGTGATTTGCCCCAGGTCACACAGGGAGATTTTGGCTGAGCCGGGAATTGAACCCAGAGCTCCCGAGTCCCAAGCCAGAAACGTCCCCATGAAATTATTGTTTTTGCCGCTGCACTTTTAAAACCTACTTCGCTCGCGCTGCGTCATTGTAAGAGCATATCCCGCATTGCTTTGCTAGTGCACAGCAGGGAAATTCCTAGTCCCTTCGTGAAAGCAGCCCTACACCTTGCTCCCCTGCGCTCCTTTTTCAATAGGCCCAAAGGGGGCCATTGAAACGTCCCCGTCCCAGAAAGGACGCTGCGTGGTAAGGTCATTATTCTTTTGGTTCCAGGGTTCCCCACTGAAGAGACACATGCAGTAAGAGCCAGTGCTTCCCATCAAAGAGTGACACCCCTTCATGCCACACAATATCGCACAGCAGGAAAGAAAGTGCCAGCAGAGGACAGGAAATGCAGAGAATCAGCTGCCTCCTCACGGGATTTGTCTTAATCCTTGGTGTGACCAGCACTGAGCGTTTTGCCCGGTCAGGGTAAGCCTCTTCTTTGTCCATCCTTCAGAAGTCTGGCTTGCTGCATTCATGCCGCTGGGCTTCTCTGCAAGCCACAATCAGGATTGATTCAGGGGGCTAGGCTCAAGGAGACATCAAAGGCCAAGTTCAGAAGTCTGCTGCACATGAATGAGCGGCTTTCGAGGTGTGGGGACAGGCAAGAGACAACCTTGCAGATTCTTCCTGGGGTAGTGTAGGTTTTGGCAAGCTTTTGTGGTGTTTGTTTGCTGTGTCTGTAAAGCAGAAAGCCATCCAAATACATTCAAGTGTATCCATCTAGTTCCATGCAGCATATACGAAGAGAGTATCTTTGCCAATTGACTTGGGGAGTCAAAAAGCTAAATAGAGCATGCACTGCTAATGATTTCTTATTGTGTCTTTAGTGCACATCCCTGCATGCATACACCCTCCCTCAAGCATAAGTGCACACCCACCCCCAACACACCCACCCACATGCATTCACACACACCTACATACTTCAGATGTACCCCCACCCCGTACACATGTAGATGTGCATGCACACACAAATGACTGGTTCACCACATTCAATATCCTGCCACTAGTAGCAGCCAATATGAGATGCATCAAACTACGGCAAAATCTCACACCCCTAAATCGGCAATGCTGTAGATGATGGAACAATTCCTTCCTGACCACAGTGTCAATCAATTTGTGCCCTGAAGCATGGGATTTGATGTCCCCTATCTGATCATGCATAACTGCTATTATTATTGTTGTTAGAGATGGGTTTGACCTAAACCCCAGGATCCAAACACACTTTCAACTGGGGGGTGAAATTCAGATTTGGATACAAGCTGGGCAATGAACTCTCAGCTCTCGAATGGGTCAAAACAGCATCCCAGCTCCAAAGCAAAACTTCCCCTTGACTGCCATGTTAAAATGTAGGGAAGTCTGGATTTGACTCCCCCCCCCCCCATTAACTCATTTCCCACTAACTCTGGAAATATTGATATCTGGACCCCAGTTTTGTAGTTCTGACCTATCTCGTTTGGTTTTACAGTGAGTGACCAGCCCTTGCTACAGTATTGAAACTTTTGCAGCCCTGAAATCTACAAGCTGAATCTCTCTCTCTCTCTCTCCTCTCTCTCTCTCTCTCTCTCTCTCTCTCTCTCACACACACACACACACACACACACACACACACACACACACACACACACACACACACACACACACACACACACACACACACACACACACACACCCACCCTCTGGCTGCTGATATATATATATACACACACCCAGAGTAGATAGATCTTTATAATAATGTCAGCAAAACTGCCTCTTTCATACCATTAATCCAGCAGGCTGAAATGAGTTATCCTGAGTTAATGGAAGGCATCTGATGTCAGTGTTAATTTTCAGCACTTTAGTTCAAGTTTCTAATTTGTCTGTGAAGCTGACACAAATCATCGGGTTTCTTAATGGGCTTCTCCTCCAGAGGCTAAGATCGGTGTCAGACAACATCCAGCTGAACAGAACCTCTCAACCTGGCAAAAGGCAAAATGGTGCAAAAATCTTTAACCAAGAACGCGTTGGATGTGAATTTCATGAAGCTTTTACGTTGTGGGCGGGCGGGGTGGGGCGCTCCAGAGCTCAGCAACCCCGGTGCAAATTTAGAGCTACTTCAGTGGAAGGGATTTTACCCCACTGAGCAGAATCTGGTCCTTGCTGTGGATTTTTGGTCATCACCTCGGTGTTGTTTTTCAGTGTGCCACAGTCTCGGAATCGAAAACAAATCGAAGGCCAGCTAAAAACCAAATGATTTTTTTTTACCGCGTTGACATGTCCCCTTTAATCTGCTGTTCAGGGGGAAATGATTCCCCCGGTAATGGATTTGGATTCCTCTCCTTTGCATGGTAATTTTACAGCAGCCTTCGGAGGACGCTGTTCTGAGACTTTGCATGACAGCCAGCCAGCAGCCCGTTCGCTGCGGATACCTGTTCCCGCCATTGGAACGACTGGCATTGTTTTCAGTGAGATTGGAGATGGCCAGCCAGGGCGCCTGGAGGCAAACTGCAGAGGTAGCCTTGCAGCTTTGAGGGCAGAAGGGAGCGTACCTGCGAGTGCAGAATATAAGCTCTCAGCGGCGTGAGGCAGGATATAGAGCTGATATTCAAGGGATTTACTCGTGTTAAGTTTTGGAAGCCCCTATCAGCTCCCCTTCCCAACTGCCCCCCAATGACTCTGCTCCAGTAAATGAGGAATGAAGGGAGCCTTAGCAATTGCATCTTAACCGACCCTCTGTGAGGTTCTTGGCCAGAGTCTCTGCTAGTGGAACTTGGCACAGCTCCATTGGAGGCATGGGGCCATTGACGCTAGCTGAGAATCAGGTCCCCCATAGGCCAAATGCAGCCACGGAGTAAGAGGGCACAGTTGCACAGAAGGCAGTAGCATTGCATCCTCTTGCCCTGGAGCTGGGTTCGGCCCCCATGGAGGGGTTTTCACATCACATTCCTTACCTGCGTTCCGGGCCTGATCCGCGTTGCTTTATGCCTGTCGCTTTCACTTTGAGTGAGACCCGGTGCCTTCTGTCCAGCCGCAGGGTGTGCTCTGCAGAGATGCAGAACGGAGCCGCTTCCTATGTGGAGTCCCACGTGCAGCCTGTCTACCAGCCCTACCTCACAACGTGCCAGGGACACCGGCTCTGCAGTACGTACAGGTGAGGAGAGCAGCCTGCTTCAGGGCATGACGGGTGCCAGCGCTGCAGACAGGTGGCATCTGGACTAGCCCGTTCGCTCCAGGGTTGGATTAGAGTCTCCGGGGATGCTGAGTACAAGGATTCGCCCAGAGACACAGCATCTCCCCAGGGTGCTTAGCAAAGGGTTTGTTCAGAGGTGTATAAGGAGCCATCGCCCTGCACACTGGAGGGAGGAAGACCATTCCCCCGAACCCCTGTTGGGAGAGATAGCCGTACTTGGCTCTTGGGTGTGGGTACGGCCCCTACTCCTGGGAGCATGCGGGCAGGGAGGGATAGGGAGTGGGCAGAGGCAGGCTGGCACAACGGGGGAAGTAAGCGGCAAAGGGATGACCTGGTTTAGTCCCCAACCCTAGGAGCAAGGCGGGGGAAGGATTGTGACTCTCCCCAGGGCGAAGCAGTCGGCTCTTTCCGCACCCCATACAGGCGCAGTCCCTAACTCCTTTCCTGAACCTTATTGCAGAACCACATACAAGGTTGCCTATCGCCTGGCCTACAGGAGATTTTCCCAGCCCATCTATATGTGCTGCCCCGGATGGAGACGGGCAAACGTCCACGCAGTCGGATGCAGCAAAGGTAAATGAGTGGCAGAGAGAGAAGAATATGGATCGTGATGAGATTGCAGCATCTCCCCTTTGGCGCTTTGGTCCTGCTCTCCCTTCCACTTTGTTTTACACCAGTCTTTTTTCATTGACAATGGTGGCTTTCTGCCTGATCTGCACTGGTGTAAACAAGAGCAGAATCAGTCCCAAAGCCTCGAGAGGGACAGCTACAGCCTGGCTTGAGCACTGACCTGGGAGTCAGGAGATGGGGATTCTATTCCATTGACTTGGCAGGGGCCCTGGGCAAATCACACCCTCTTGGTGCCTCAGTTTACCCATCCGTAACACAGGGATTGGAACTACTACTCCCACGCTGGCAAAAAGCTTTGTGCTTTGAGATCGCTGAATGAAAAGTATTAGCATCATGCTGGTGGGAGGGGCTCTCCTAGTGCAGAATGCTGGAGAGAAGGAAATACAGCGCAGACAGGGGTTGTTAACACCCTGCAGAGGGCTCTCAGCACCTCTCTGATCATCACCTCTGTGTGCCTCAAAAGCCACTCCCCTTGTTACCAGATCTGTCTGAAATTAGTGTAATTCTCTAGCAGGCACTTATCCTTCCAACACCCGCCTGTGAGAACAAATCGGTTTCAATCAGCCATTCATTTATAGCCTTGCTTTGCTTGCCTTGTGTATATAGCTTGGCTTTATTAGCTTGGCTTATACCAGAGGAGAAATTAATAAACCCTTTCTGCATAAATCAGCAGTAATGGAACAGCTCTGCTCTTAGGGGGAAATAGTGATGTACAGCACAAAAGGAATGCCAAGCCCGTCAGAGGCTAATCTCTTACCAGATCAAACCAGCCTGCAATATACTAACGCTTCCCAGAGCCTGTCACTGACTGAGAGCTGCTGCAGTCCCCCTCTACACCCCCCAGTACTCCCTACACAGACTCTGAGGAGGTCTTCCTCTTTCCAGGGCTGAAATGGGTTAAGTTACAAATGAAAGTGTTTATTGCGCTAGCGAACCCCAGTGGAAAGGCTTTCCAGGCATCACCTCAGTGCCATTCAAAACACCATCCTAGATCTGTTGCTTCATTTGATGAGCCCCTGGAGTTACTAGAAGGCTGTGAAAATACTGAGTTTCTGGGGCCGAATCCTCCTTTCTGATTTGCTCAGGGATCTCTGACCAACTCTGGGCCGAACTGTGAACCTCTTACTTCCGCTGGGAGCAGCTGTTTGCACATGTCGTCTCGTTGCTGGCCCATGGGAGCAAGGCGTTCACAGCCTTTGCCCTCTCTGAGTCACTGTGGTGTCTTCTACCGCTTGTCTCACGCAGCGCGCCCGTCAGCCTCACTGGAAGTGCCACATGCTGAGCGTAATACAGATCTGATTCACATGGAGGCTGTTGCATTCACGGGGTGGGGTCCTCAGCTGGTGGCAAGGGGCTGCTCTACGCTGACGTTAATGGAGCTGTGGGCATTGACACCAGCTGAGGATCTGGCCCCATGTTTTTGCTCACCTTTAACATTCGCCCGAACTCTGCTGGCGGCCAGGAATATTCCAGAGCTGTGCTCAGCACAAAGGCCTGGACAGGAGCTCAGAAGGTGCCTGCATGTGTAATAAAAATCTCCCTGACGACAGGAATTTGCAATGGTGGGAGCATGTGCGCGTCTGCCTGCGGCGGGAGGCCCAGATTTTTGCCTCGGCAACATGGTGACCGTGCGTTATTGTTTTACAGCCATTTGCAGGTTGCCTTGTCAAAACGGTGGGAGCTGTTCAGCCCCAGACAGATGCACCTGCCCTCCAGGATGGATGGGGAAATCCTGCCAGACAGGTAACAGCTCTGGTTTCCCTGTTTTGTATTTCAGTCTCTTCCCTGGGCTTCCCTTTGCCGGGGCGATGGGAGCAGGGTGGGGGATGGCGGGATATAGCAGGTGACCTGTAGAAGGTGATTTGCAGGAGCTGACAACAATCTCCTGGATAGGCCAGTGGCACCCAGGCCTAATGGTTTCCTCTGTTGGTTCTCAGCAGGGAGTGAACCTGAGCTGTGCACCAGCAGAGTGCCAGGCCCGTGGGCTGAGAGAGTAACTCCATGCTCTGTTAGCTGTCATAGATTCTTTACATGGACCCAGCGCGTTTACCCAACCCGTGACACCAGCTGTGTGGTGCCTCCATTCCATGCTTTGGGTCAGCCCTTGAGATACGTGGGCGCTGCCTCCGCAAGGCGTCAGCTCAGCACCCAGCGCATGTAATGGGCCATCAGGCATCTTCAGCAGGTTCGTGCTGCCCGTGTGCCTTCACCAAGGGTCAGGTCAGGTGCTTGTGCAAAAGACCCTCCCTGCTTCCTGGTAGCTGAGCCCCGTCATTTGGAACAAGGGCTGCCGTCCCATGGGCGTGGGCATTGTCGCTCCTGGGCAGCGCTCGGGGAAGTACGACAGGACTGGCTTGTGGATCTGGGCTCTGGCACTGGGGGCCTTGGGGCAGGTCACTGAACTTCTCACTGACAGCAAAGGTCTGGAGGGGTGGGGGTGGGGGGAGCGCTGTTTATGCCCACAGCTCCTACAGACCAGCAGGCAGGGGGTGGGCCAGAGCCGGCCAAAGGGCTTGGATGACGTAACGCTGTTGACCCAGGAGAAGGAGGCAGAAGCTAGCGTGTAGCTGGCAGATTGGGGTAAGGCGCTCGGGGTGCTCAGTGGATTTTGGGGGGGTGCTAGCTGTGGGAGGCCTTCCCTCCATTCCCTCCCCCTTCTGCTAGAGCTCAGGGCTGAGACTGGATTCCATTGCAAAGCAAAAAGGCCAGAGCCACGGCTGGGGTAAATGGGTGACGCGCCCGCCCGTGACGTTCCGGGCGCTCTGAGAATCTGTCCCTAAATGCCCTTTCCCGCTCACTTTATTCGAGAGGCCTCATTTTGGGGGCTTCATGTTACACTCCTGGGGAGCATGCACAGGCCTGCCCAGCCCCCACCCAGGAATTCAGTCCTGTCGCAGCCTTTCTGGTTCTCCTCTCACTTGCCGCGGTGTAACGCAGGAGTAACTATGGATTCGAATGGTGTAAAACCCCTAAGTCCAGTAGGTGGTTGGAGGCAGATGCCTGACGGGTGTAAATCGGCTCTCTTGAAGCCGGTGAAGCGGCCCTGATTTCCACCAGTTGAGGATCTGGCACGACTGTAATACCAATGCATGTGTGTGGGGTTGAAACACTGGCAGGCTGTAGTGACAGCTTGGATCCCCCCAGCGCAGAGGGCTGAAGAGATTGTCCTGCTGCCTAGAACAGACTTGTCCAGGCACAGGAGGGGGCTGTCGTTCATTTCACTTTGTGGGTATGGCGTTAATACCCCCTCTGCCCCCAGCGAGGCGGTTGGGCTTTAAACACCCACTCGAAAGGCTGATAGCACCTCACCGGGATGGGCTGGCGCGTGTGGCCCCCCGGAGCCAGCGTTGAACAGCGCTCACCCAATCAGGGAGTGTTTGGCTCCAGCTCCCCTAGAATTAGGGAGCGTTCAGATCAGGGGCTTTGTTTTTGCCCTTTTTAGATGTACTGGGCCTGATGCATCACGAGGCTTCTCCCGTTTTACTTGGGGTAGCATCAGTGGCGTAAAACGGGAGTAGCACAGTGGAGAATCTGAAGTTTAGCTCCTGCTAGAAGCGAGACCCGAGCTGGCTGCATTGACAGCAAAGGAGATTCTTTACTCGGGCAGCTGGGCACGGACAGACTCTGTGGGGTTCTCTCTCTAGCTCCCAACGAATCCAGCCTGCCGTCACCACCCAGGTCTCCCCGGCTTGTGGCCTGGATTAAGCTGACGGCTCTCTAGTCCGAGCTGTTCCACGTATGCTTTTGGTGAGGGGCCCTGTCTGGCGTTGTCTGTGCTAACCCTGTCTTCACAAGCGCTGCTCCCTGCTGGCCCGCCCCCACCTGAGCCCCTGTGACTTTACCCCTGTGCTTTCAGATGTGGATGAATGCACTGGCCCGAGTCACGGCTGCAGCCAGCATTGTGTCAACACGCCTGGGAGCTACGGCTGTGCCTGTCGGGCTGGGCAAAGGCTCTCCGCCGATGGGAAATCATGCCAGGCTTCGGAGCCACCCACTGAGACAGAGGCCTCCCCCGCCCTCAACCGATCAGGTAACACAGCATGGGCTGGAGCTAGTCCGGGGGCATGTTACTGCTTGGCTGAATGTTAATTGCATAGCCTTCACCAACGGGTATGAGGCAGTGGGGGTCTCTAGGCGCTAGAGCAGGGGTCTGGGAGCCAGGATTCCTGGGTTCGATTCTGACATGTGACCTGGGCCAGTCACGCACCCACTCTGTGCCTCGGCTGTAAAATGGGGATAATGGCTTGCTGTGAGGTTTAACTGATTACTGGGCGAGACCCCCCCAGCTGGTGGGACTTACGGGCTTTGGAAGCCAGCTACTGGCCAGGCCGGAGAGACAATGGCCAGCGGGGAGACAACTGGGTCAGCACAACATCATCTTTTCTCTGCGTGTGACTCCAGAGCCACGAGGACGGGAGTGGCGGCGACGCTGGTGCCGGCCCATTATTACTTTTGGTACGCGCTGTGACACTTCAAACTCGTACCGTGAGTAATAATGCGCTGCGGCCAGCCCTGGCGACAGACAGGAGCAGCACGGGCGGAAGGGCTGCGCCCGCGCGTACAACTATGGAGGTGATTCCTGCGGCCTGCCCTCTCGGCTTTCTCCTCTCCAGAGCCCCTTTCCCCCTTGGGGCAATCTCTGCCATCTCTCCTGGGCTATTGCAGCAAGTTTAGCAATAGGGCTAAGATTTTGTCACGGGAAAAGTGACGCACGGATCACGGGCAGCAAACAAAAATTCACGGGCGCCCGTAACCTGTCTGTGACTTTACTAAAAATAACCAGAGGACAGGGCTAGGTAGGGGGGAGGAATGACAGCTGGAGTCCCAGGGGGTGGGATGGACTGACAGTCTGAGCCCCACTGCCATGGGGGTGGGGGCACACAGCCCTGGATCCAGCGGCCGCAGCCATGGGGGGTAACCGCGGGGGACACACAGCCCTGGATCCAGCGGCCGCAGCCATGGGGGGTAGCCACAGGTGGGTGGGCACAGAGCCCCGGCTCTGGAGCTGGCAGCAGCCGGGGAGCAGGGGCACACAGTCCCAGGTCCAACCACAGCCACGGGGGGTGTAACAGCCCTGTGACGCTGCGAGGGGGGGCGCACGGCCCTGGCCCCCGGTGGAAGCTGCAGGACGGGGAACACGGCCCCAGATGCAGCCCCCAGTGGAAGCTGCGGGGCAGGGGAGCGCATGGGCCGGGTTCCAGCTGCAGGGCAGGGGTGCTGAAGCCGAAGAAGTCACGGAGGTCCGGTGAAGTCACGGAATCTGTGACTGCTGTGACCTCCGTGACTACACCGTAGCCTTATTTATCACTAATTCTGTGGTACAAGGTGCACAGTTCCACCCACTGCCCCGGTTTATCTCTAAACCAGGCCTGCACAACTCGTAAAGCGGTGAGGGCCATATTACTCCAAAGAAAAGAGCTGAGGGCCGAAACCCCCCAAGCGCTGCCAAACCCCCCTCCCCAGCGCCACCCAGCCCCCCCGAAACACAACACCCCCCCC